TTCGATAACAGCCATACCAAGAGAGGCAGCTAGCTAGGTTACATAGGAGACCTCTGCACCTTCTCAAATTTTGTTCCACTCTCACACGAGTTTCGGACCGGAAACAGCGGAGTGATGAACATGTCCTAGTTTTTTCGGTTGTGCAAATCACGAACTATGGAGGCCTTCTTAGCACATGGAAGTGTGCATGAATATGGCTGGCACAGGGAAGCTTGTGCACAGAAGTCGATGATCGATTTGATAATCGTATCGTCTGACTTAAGACGCTAGGCAAGAGATGTTAGTGCTAAGAGAAGCGCAGAGCTGTCAACGGATCACCACCTTGTTGCTGGCACCTTCCTCTTTATACTGAGTTCCAGTTGAAGACCTTGTGGCAGAAGCAACGTCAGAATCAAATGAAATGCATCATCTCTTAAAAAAGCTTCTGAAGATGTCGGGGCAAAACCGGTAAAGAGTATCACGCCACGTGTATCAAAACAGACCCCACTGATGACCGCCGATGCGAAAACCGAGTGGACGCTCTTTAGGAGCGAATGACTCGATGCTGTTGCCGAATGTGTGGTTTAAAATGAGTTTGCCTGACGCCTGGAGGTCAGAAACACACTTGTCAGCAAGAAGAAGGTTGCATTCAAGCGACAGCGCCTTCAACTCGAAAGTGGCACAAGAAAACTCGAAATGAACTAGTGAAAGCAGTGATCAAGGCGAAAGCTGATTCCTGCCATATTGGAGTCGAACTTTTACATGGCAATGAAAGTGTTGTGGCAGACCGTCCATCGCTTTCAAAATGGAAAAACGGCTGTCTAAGAGTTCTAAAGACAAACTCGGAACGCCCACTAAGGACTATAGCATACTTTAGCGATGGAGACTTTGGCGAACTCTCTAATCCCGAGTAACCGTAGGAGGACTCGCCCGAAAAGCAGCAGGCAAAGGATATTAATCATCCAGTCGATGACGTCATAGAAACTGGTAAACGCTTCAGACGTCGCAAGGTTGCTGTAATCGATGAAGTACTCCTTGAAATGCTTAAAGCATTAGGTGAACAAAGAATCTTACCGCTAACACGTGTCTGTCAAACTGCAATTGCTACGGGGAACAAACCAGTGGACTGCACAGCGAGATTGTAGTACCTTTGGCCAAGAAGTGATACCGTAGAAAGTGCCGAATTATCAGTGCACTACGTTAGTCTCCGAAGACAAGGTGTCGGAAAGGAGGTGCCGCGGAACAAGTGCCTTTAAGATACAAGAAGAGCAGTGTGACTTTAAGTTAAGCGGAAGCACCTCAGAAGAGATTTTCGCCTTGCGCCAATCTATAGGGTTTACATGCGTTTTTCTGACCTGGAGAAAGCGCATGACGGGTCCCGCACAACAAGCCATAGACATGCCTGGAAATCTATGGGAGCAGCGGCCAGTCGCTACGGACCACCTGGTCACCATATGTTAACAGGAGACGCTGCGTCAGATTAAATGGTGCTAAGTACAAACCTTTCATTGTCCTCAAAGACATCCGCCAAAACCGCATTCTGTCCCCCTCTCTTGTTCAGGTTGCACATGGACGGGGTTCAGGTGCAGCCAAGACATCGCATAAAAGCGTAGGAGATATGCAGTGGAGGGGTATGCAGACGATTATGCATTGCTGGAATCTTCTGAAACTGTTCTTCAGCACTTCCTGGCAAGGGTTGCAGCTGAGTGCTACGTGGCGTGCATGCGTGTGAACGTGCCTAATACTAAACGCCCATTGCTTTTTCGTCCTCCCGCCCGTTGTGTTCCGTGGATAAACGGAAATGCAGTGAACAGATGGAGAACTTCTCGTTTCCCTCGGGGTCGTGCGTACCTCAGATGGAAAAGAGGAGGGATTGATAGAGTAGTCAATTGGAATGGCAAGCGACGCGGTGCGTGAACTATTCCGAACCGCTGCGACTAAAACAGAGCTGAGTCAAAACACCAACCTCTCTGCGTTGAAGTTGATCTTTACGCCAATGCTCATCTTCGGCGTTGAGTCGTAGGCGATGACTGAAAAACTTCGATTTTGGGTACAAGCGGAAGAAATGGGATTTTTTGAGACGATTCACTCGACTCAGCCGTCCCGAAATGGTCCGGATTAGGGATATCCAAAAGTACCATGATGTGGGAAAACACACCTGCAATGGGACGGGCCCGTCTTGCGAACGGTTACAAAAATGATGGCGAAACAGCTGCAAGTTGTCCAACCGATAGGCTGCAGACCCGACGGACTGCCAAGAAAGCCCTTAGCGAGTGTACCGAAGGACTCTGTTCGGACTTGGGCCGTCTTCTACTGCAGAAGCTCAAACTCTG